ACGTTCATCCTTGGCCTCAGTTCCTCACCGCTCAAAAAATAACAATGCACACAGCGTTAGAGGAGATATGTTAAAATATCCCACAGTGTTGCAACTTCTTGGAGTCTTTTTTGATAAGAATTTCCTGAAAAAATTATCCAAATTGCACGAAGAGTAATCGGAATCACTTGTGTCAGCCTGACTCATTTGGTAGCACTCTCGCCTCTGAGGCAGAAGGTTGTAGGTTCAAAGCTCCATCATGGGACTTGCATTCACACAGTTTAGGCTGACACTCCAATGCAGTTCTGGGAGGTGTTCTTCGAAAAGAGAAAATAATTTCTCCCATCGACTCCCAAATAAATTTGTTCCGTGGCCGTTTGTGGGACTTTGCTGTGCACAAATTGGCCTGACACATTCGCCTACAAAACACACTGCACTTCACAGTAAATCCTCCTGACGTAAAAGACGCTTTACAAATGTACTCTGCTCCAATGCCATCTCCCTCTGGAGCAGAGTGTTCCTGCAGGAAGTCTATAATAGAGTATTCTATAATAATAATAATCCTTGCATTTGATACAGCGCCTTATCACGTCTTTGAGACGTTTCAAAGCGCTTCACGGAATACACTGTAAAGTGAATTGACTATATTTTGTGGGCGATATGCGGCAGCTAATTGCGCACAGCAATGTCCCACAAACAGTCGTGGATTGAAGTGACCAATTTTTTTTTTTTTGACGGAATTATAAGCCCCGGAAAAGCGATCCGCCAATCGACGAACAACCGGATTGCTACTTACTGTTAGGTAGACAGAGGTGTGTGGAGTAAGAAACATACCTAAGGTTTTGCCAGCCGGGAATCGAATCCAAGTCTCTCGCTTTTGAGGCGAGTGAAATCACTGAGCTACAGGACTCCACATAATAAGGAATTTCCCTGAGCAATCCTCAAATTCAACCCCTCGTGTCACTCAGGCACACGACATGCAGACCAGTACTGACTGATTAATCTTAGCCACTTCAGTGGTCTCTGTCACTGATGTGGTCTAACCAGATCTGACTATCTGCCTGATCTAAGACACGTTACTGCACTGCACAAAGATGATGGTCACAAGACTTTAATCAGTGAAGATCAAAGGAGTAAAAGTGTGACTGAATGGGGAATAATTATCGTTAAATATTTTATGACAGATTCAGATTCAGGCACCTCCAAAGAATTAAAGGTGGTGGGAGGAAGTGTCACATGGTAAAACATCTTGATACTTTGATCAGGTTTGCAAAGAGAGGATGGAATAAGAATTGATACCTGGCTTCAATATCTAAAGAGGAGAAATAATACTGACAATAACAACTTGCACCGGCAGTAATGTCTTGGAGCTATAAACAATTGCACAATTTGATGACAAGCTGGGGGAAAGGGGCAGTGTCCGTAAGCACAGTTGAAGAGGAAAGTATCCTGGTGCGATCTGAAGACATTCATCATAATAATCCTTGCATTTGATTTAGCATCATTGAAATGTTTCAAAGCGCTTTATAGAATATACTGTAAAGTGAGTTGACTGTATTTTGTGGGCGAAACGCAGCAGCCAATGGAACACAGCAGTGTCCCACAAACAGTCATGGATTGAGTGACAATTTATTATTATTTTGTAAGTTCTCGGCTTCTCAGTGGAGAGAAGAGAGAAAACAAATAAAAGGGCTTAAAACAATGCTAAATTGGCATCAAGCGGATGAAGCAGAGGAATTGTCAACATTGTGATTGGAGGTGACCTCCAGATCCTGCCGTTGATGGCTAGTGTTGTAAGCTTGTGCTCACCGCACATCAGACCTTCATCTGACCCTCTACCAATCCCATCATGTTTAATGAGACGGAAAGTTTAGAGAGATCGTCTTCTCTTCCGTTGAATCATACGTTTTAATTGGAGAAGTGGTGCCTCTCGCTCGCCCTCAACAAATTGCTGAAGAATAATTTGTGCGAGAGATTCGGAGACACAGGACGTCAATTGTTTGATTCCATGAGTGTGGTGCTGCCACATGTTAATGGGTCGGCAGATAAGTTTTATTGTACCAAAGTTCTGGTGCTCATAACTCAACACACCACACACACACACCGATGACCCGCCATTAAACTTTCTCTTTTTTATTTGCTGTAGGAAGTTGGTATCTGACGGTATTGGGCAGCTCAAGAGACAAGCTGACTTCTCTGGGACCTGCTCACCAATCCAATCCAAATTACATGGGGTTATTGTCTCCTCTCACACAGCTGTAACATTGCTGGGGCTGGGTAACCATGTTGTGAGTGGGCACAGCATCTCAATCCCAGAGACACACAGTCACACAATCACACACACGTCCACACAATCACACATCCACACAATCACACACTGACCCACTCACACACATACACACACACATACAATCACACAACCACACAATCACACACTGACCCACACGCGCACACACACATAAACACACACATAGAACCACACAATCACACACTGACCCACTCACACACACACACACACGTAAACACAGACAGACAATCACACATCCACACAATCACACACTGACCCACTCACACACACGTAAACACACACAGACAATCACACATGCACACAATCACACACTGACCCACTCACACACACGTAAACACACACAGACAATCACACATCCACACAATCACACACTGACCCACTCACACACACGTAAACACACACAGACAATCACACATCCACACAATCACACACTGACTCACTCACACACACACATAAACACATCCACACAATCACATGCAGCCTCACAATTATGCAATCCCATAATCACACACTCATATACAGCCACACAATCACACACACACAAACACAGCCACAATCATACAATCACACACACAGCCACACAATAATAAATAATAATTTTGCATTTAATATAGCGCTTTTCACGTCTTCTCGACGTCTCAAAGCGCTTCACAGAATAGACTGTAAAATTAATTGCCCGTATATTTGTGGGCAAAATCACACAACCACACACACTCGCATGCAGTCACAATCACACGCACACAGTCACACATCCAAACAGCACACATTCCCAGTCTTAGACTCATAACACATTCTGGGGTCCCAGAGCCCATTTTACACAAGACAGCAGTGATTATGTGGAGTTGACCACTCAGCGAAGCGTGTGGAGACAGATTGCCACATCGGATTGAAGAAGGAATTAGAGCAACTTGGCGGTGAAATGGTTCGAGTGTTTCTGAGAGATAAAGTGACAGAGGATCATTCAATTTGACTTGCGGTTGGACAAGATGGGCTGCGATGATCTGTTCTGTGTTATTGTGCTTCGCAGCTTTCACATCAAGCTTCGCCAATGGAACCACCCAAGGCTTCTTTTACTCTGTTTCCCCCTCCCATGCCCCCACCCTCAAACCATATGGCATGGGTCAGTCAGCTGTAGACAATTACTCAGTGCAAAACACATCAGTGTGAGCTGGAAGGACTCCAGGCATTTCCAGCTATAAGATAGATTGATACTATTGGGGCTGTCCCTCCCAGGCAGCTGAACACCAACTCTGACAGGCTCAACACAGAAACGATCGGAGAAGGAACACATTTTTTCTCTCTTAAAATTAGAGATTTGTGGAGTCCCCATAGGGTATTGATTAACGCACTCGCCTCACAGGTGAGAGGATCCTCGATACCCAGGTAGGACAAAAAACCTTAGGCAAGTTTCCTTACTCCACATGCCTCTATTTATCTGGCAGTAAGTAGGGACCCTGTTGTGTGTTGATTGGCAAATCGCTTTCCAGGGGTAATAATCCCTCTACCCCCAAAAAATAATTTGGTCATTTAATCCACGACTGTCTGTGGGACACAGCTGTACGCAATTGGCTGCCGCTTTATGCCCACAAAATACACAGTCAATCCATTTGAAAATATACTGCTTTGAGACATCTGAATGATGTGATAAAGAGCTATATCAATTGCAAGGATTATTATTATTAAAAAGAGCGTGTGTTTTTTTTATTATGGAACGGTGTTAAACGGGTTTTGTTTCAGTACGAAAACCCACAGATGCATCGAAACATGCACACCCCTGCAGGCTTGTGAAATCGCAGGGTTTTTATTTTACTTTATTTTACATTTGGACAGGTTTTGAAGGTTACGACTGCTCACTGGAAGTAAATGAATGTCTGTCAAATCCCTGCTACCCGACGGGTACGGCCTATTGTGAAGATCTCACCAATAGATTCCAATGCATCTGCCAACTGGGATATATGGGGGAGATCTGTGAAATTCCAATAGCTCGCTGTGCCAAAGGACTGTGTCACAACACATTACAGTGCGAGGACATCCCTGGAGGCTTTATATGTCACTGCCTCTCTGGTAGGTAACAGTTTTGACATGAAGTTCTTTTTTTTCTTACATTTGTTTTGTCAAATTGAAGTGCGTTTCAAGTGAACAGGGTGGCCCTTTTCAATGCAATACAACACAATTATTTACACAGCACATTCACAGTGCTTTATATGGGCAACTGAACCGGGGGGGGGGGGTGCTGGTGGTGGTGAGGGTTGAAGGGGTCGTGGGGGTTGGAGAGGGGAACATTGGTGAGCTGAGTGTCCAACACGTGCGGAAACTTGTTGTTCATTCCAAAATGAGGGGGTTTAATATAAGATAGCCAGTAGCAGATCTAAAAGGGAGTTTAGGATGAATGTCTTCACGGAGAATGTGGAACCCATTGCTGGAAGCTGTGGTTGAAGTAAATAGGATCAATGTAGTTAAGAGGAAGCTTGATGTATAAATGAAGGAGAAGGGAATAGCGGGAAATAGAAGAGGGGATTAGGAGATGTGGAGGTTGATGTGGAGTATAAACACTAGGAGAGACTAGTTGGGTCGGATGATCTGTTTCTGTGCTGTAATATTGTGTGTAATATATGTGTATTATAGCAAATCCTGAATGCTTTGCATCTAACTCTGCCTTTTTTCACCTTCCCCCTCTTTTCCTGCGCCTCCCCTCCCCATCTCCCTCTGTCAGGGTTAAGTGGACGTTTCTGTGAAGTGAATATTGACGACTGCCAGTCTGGAGCCTGTGATCCCCTTAGCATCTGTCAAGATGGCTTGAACTCGTTCCTGTGTTACTGTGCACCAGGTTTCGTCGGTAGGTTTGGCATCATCTTGTGATCAGTTTTTTTCATTCTTGCATTGCAGCCGCTTTATAATTCTCAATATTAATAATAGTCCTTGCATTTGATATAGCGCCTTATTAGGTCTTCAAGCCGTCTCAAAATGCTTCACAGAATATACTGTAAAGTGAATTGACTGTATATTTTGTGGACGAAACGCGGCAGCCAATTGCGCACAGCAGTGTCCCCACAAACAGTCGTGGATTGAGTGACCAATTTATTATTATCTTTTTGAAGGAATTATTAGGAATTATTAATGTTTGAGCTCTATGCAAACCCAGCCCAATTTATAGCAAGGTACAATAGTGGGTTTTAATATACCCCCATTGTGCACAACTGTCAGAAAAATAATCAGCGCTGTAACCAATTTTGTGTTTTGCCTTTGTCACATTATCCATTCACAGAGTACAAGGTAAGTGTAGTAACTGTGCTTTTGTAGGTAAACTCTCCAGACAATTTGAGCACAACAATGTCCCATTGGTGAAGGACCAATTTTATTTGGGGGTTAGAGCACTCGCCTTGCAAGTGAGAAATCTGAGCTCGATTTCCAGCAGGGTGAAATATTGTGCCTTTGTTTACCTATCAGTAAGTAGGAATCTGGTTGTTAGTTGATTGGCGGATCACTTTTCTGGGGGTAATAATCCCTTAAAAAAAAATTGGGTTACTCAATCCACGAATATTTGTGGGACACTGCTGTGCGTACTTGGCTGCCGCATTTCACCCACACAAAATATACAGTCAATTCACTTTACAGTCTATTACAGAATTACATAGAATATACAGCACAGGAACAGGCCATTCATCCCAACTGGTCTATGCCGGCATTTATGCTCCACATGAGTCTCCTCCTGCCCTTCCTCAACTATTCTATCAGCATAACGCTTTCTTTCATATTCATATTTCAGTTTCCTTGCTCCATCATGTACTTATCTAGCTTCCTCTTAAATGCATCTATGCGGAATACTCCTCAAAGTATTCTCTGAAGCACTTTGAGACGTGATAAAGCGCTATATCAAATGCAAGGATTATTATTATTATTACATTGACGTGAACCCGTAACCTTCCGACTCAGGCAGGAGTGCTACCTATTGACTGAGCCAGGCTGAAACAAGCGGAGGCAGATTCATGTGCTGAGCACATATTGGCCAGTAATCATGTTTGCAATTGAGTTTCCACCTGAGCACCGATGGCACGAAAACTCTCTGAGCAATGCCCGTGACCTGCCCAGTCAACCTCTCTGTATATAATCCAATGTAATTATTTGACTTTCCTGTTGACGGTCGCGCTGGTGTGTCACTGCTGGCAAATTCCTAATGAAGTGAATCTTGCTGATTTCCAGGCAATAACTGTGAGATTGAGGTGGATGAGTGTCTCAGTGACCCCTGTCAGAATGGTGCCACTTGCTCTGATCTTCTGAACGCCTTTAGATGTCTGTGTCCTGATGGAATTGAAGGTAAATGACTGGGGGAGGGGGAGATGGAGGAGGGAAAGAGGGAGAGAGAAGGAGGGTGGGAGGGAGCTGAGGGAGGGATGGAGGGAGCGCAGGAGGGAGGATGAGGATGCTGGTTGACGCAGCTGCGATTGCATTCTCTTGAAATCCCATCAGCGTTGCCAGCTTAATTCGTCTGAAGAACGTTCACTCTGTTTTCTTTGTAACTGAGAGAAGATGAAAATGGAACATTTATTGCACTCTTCAAACAAGACACCATTTCTCTCTCTCTCTCTCGTCCATTTTAACCAGTTGTTCTGCTGTTAAGAATGATTCAAATGACTTCCATCCTCAAGGCCTTTGATGTTTGCTTTGGAACTGCATTCGACGTGAGCCACTTAACAATAATCCTCGTACGTTATATAGCGCTGCTTTGTCACGTCAAGAACATCCCAAAGCACTTCACAATCTTTCTGTGAAGTTTAGTGACTCTATTTTGCAGACAATCTCGGTAGGCAATTGGCACACAGCATCATCCCACAAGCAGCCATGAAGTAAATGACCAATTTTATTTGGGTAGGATTGTTGGCCAGGACACCCGGAGAAACTCATCTCTTTTCAAATAGTGTCCTGGGATGTTTAACGTCCACCTGAACGGGCAGACGGGACCTTGGTTTAACGTCTGATCAGAAGGACAGCACCTCCAACAATGCAATGCTTACCTTAGAAGTGTATTAGAGTGAGCCTGGACTACATGCATTCCAAGTCCTACTGTGTGACTTGAACCCACACCTTCTGACTCAAAGGTGAGAGTGCTACCACTGAGCCAAGTTTAGACCTTTTATTTAAACAATTTACACAGTTCCTGCTATTGTAGTTAAAATAACTGCATTCTTGTTGCTTGGAGGCATGTAATCCCATTCAGCCTTAATATTTAAGAACTGCAGAAAACTGGCTCCCAAATTGAGACTGAATTGAAGATTGTTTTTAAAAATCTGCTCAACCTTCACTCTTAAAGTCATAAATGGATGCACAGGCTAAGACTGGGTGGACTTTCGGGCCTGCAATGAAAAACACCGGGTTGATGGCTTAGTTAATGAGCCACTTGCCAACCTGCGCCTAATACTTCCAGAATTAAGTAAGCAGGATGTGTCTGATGTGTCTGAAGTGCAAGTTGTTGTTGCTGTTGTCCCTCCAGGGAGAAAGCGTGCATTCCATTCTATCAATCAATCTCTGGGATTTCCTTGTGGAGATGGGTTGCGTGGAATTCTCGGTCTGGTTTGGATACTCCTAAGCACATCCTAACCTCACCCTCCAGTGGAACTTTTCAGCTGCCATACATCAGAGACATTTAAACGAGGTCCCGTCTGGCTGTTGAGGTGGGCAATGAATTTCTCATGGCATGATTGGTAAAGACGAGTTTCTCCCGGTGTCCTGGGTAACAATCCCCCGGATAAAATGGGTCATTCACTTCAAGGCTGTTGCTGTTTACAAATTCGCTGCCACGTTTGACTACAAAATGATACAGTCACCACACTTTACAGTAAAATCCTAGGAAGTATTTTGAGTCATTCTGACAACATGATAAGGCACTATTATCAGATACAGGGATTAATAATATTATCAGGAAGCACTTGGCATCCACACTGTGTGTAATGGAAAAGTGCCTCTTATCATTCGTTCGTTTCATTCCTCATTGATGTGCACTGAAGGCAGGAGTTCAGTACTTACACAGCAGGCGAGCTGCCTCGTGTCATTAGACTGCTCTTAGTGCAGGAGCTAACATTGCATCCATTCTGTGCTTGTATTGCAGCTGTCAGCTTGGCTGAGTCAGTCGCATTCTCTGCATTGTGGGTTCAAGCATCAGGTCAGGACCTATAGTAAAATATTAATCCTTGCACTTGATATAGCGCCTTATCACGTTGTTGAGACATCTCAAAGCGTGGCACAACGAGGCAGCCAATTGCCCACAGCAGTTTCCCTGCCTACAAAAACAGTTACCATACTTCCGAATAATTATTGTAAAACACCCTGAGACATTTCAATGTACAAGGTGCTTGTGGGACAATGCATTGGATAAATTGACCACTGCGTTCGCCTGCAAACACACAGTCACTACGCTTTACCATGAATCCGGTGAAGGAAGTTGAGAAATCCTCCTGACATGAAAAGCACCATATCAAATGAAACGGTTTTATCATTAAATTCAGTCAGTCACCTTCACAGTTCTTTGTGGGACATTGCTGTGCACAAAATTGGCCACTGTGTTCGCTTACAAAATATAGACACTACACTTTGCAGAAAACACAGAGAACAGTTTAAGAAGATGCTAGCTGCGTGGAGCCCTATATAAGTACAAGTTTTGGTGGTGTTGTTGTGTGATAAAATGCTGCATCGAATGCAAGGATCCTTAAGGATTATTATCCAACACATCTGCATGTTAAACAAAAAGAGAGAAAGGAAACCCTCGCCACAATTGGGTGCTGAAGGAAATAATAATAATCCTTGCAACTGACATCGTGCCTTATCACGTTGTTGAGACATCTCAAAGCGCTTCACAGGATATATTGCAAAATGGCGTTACTATGTATTTTGTGGGTGAAAGAGCAAGATATGAAGCTCAGTACTAAGGTGTGTGGTGTGGGGGTGGGGGGAAACGAGGGAGAAATGGACAAGGAAGAGGGGTGGTGAGAGTTGAGAAGTGTGCAGGTTATTGAGGCACTTGTTGGAGTAAGGAAGAGGTCCAGAAATTGGTTAAGGCAGCTGCAGAAATAAGATACTCAGGGCTAAAACAAACTGACACTGGGAAGTATGACCTGAAGGATTGCAATCTCCAGGGGTTGAACCTCCGGCAACACTGCATGAGACTAACGACCCTGAAGAGTTCAAAACCGCCCGACACAAACGAAAAAGATATTTCCACAGAGGCCGATACTGGTGAAGCTGTCTCTGTGATTTCATACAGGAACTCAGTTTCCAGAGTTAGAGCTGCAGCCTGTTAACTCTGCGCTTAGGTTAATTTGTGCTAACAGCACACAGGGAGAAGGTCCATCTGGGATTAAATGTAAACTTTCTTTTCAGAAACCTACCCAAAACCTTCGAAGGCTTCAAAGTTGAGCCTCAATTCAACAATTTGCCAATTTTGAACACTCTCAGCAAAAAATCCGGCATAAACAGTAAATCTAATTACAGGTGGAATTTGTCCCCAATAATGTCTCCTTGATCAGTTATACGCTAAAGTGTAGTGACTGTGTTTTGTGGATGAACACGGCAGCTAATTTGCGCATAGTATTACTTCACACCAGCCAAGGAGTGAGTGACTAATATTACCTGGGGGAATGTTGGCCAGAACACTGGAAGAGAGAAACTTCCTTCTATTTTCCTTGATGTCCACACGAAGGCAGACAAGACCTCAGTTCACCTGAAGAATGGCACCTCCAACGATGTAATGTGCCCAAGCGCTGTATTGGAATGTCAGCCTCGACAATGTGAGTGCAAAGTCACAATATGAGGCTTGAACCCACAACCTTTCCAAGTCAGAGTTGAGAGTACTACCAACTGAGCCAGCTGTGTGGAAACCTATGTGGTTCACACTTGAATACAGCCTTGATTTTCAACCTTTGTTTTCTGTAAGTCTCTTCGAAGAAACTAAGGAAAAATTATTCAGATTTGAGACTGAATTCAACTATTTGCCAAATTCTGAATGTTCTGAATCGTTACATTAACAGAGTCGTGGAGTTCTGTAGCGCATTGGTTAGAGCACTCGCCTCGCAAGTGAGTGGACCTGAGTTTGATTCCCGGGCAGGGCAAAGCCTTAGACACATTTTCTTCCTCTACACACCTCTGTTTATCTAGCATTAAGGAGGAACTCAGTTGATAGTCATTTGGTGGATGGCTTTTCCAGGATAATAATCTCTTAAAAAACACAATAATTATAATAATTTGGTTAATCCATGACTGTTTGTGTGACATTGCTGTGTGCAAATTGTCAACCATAACCTGCTGGAAGCACTCTGGGACACTACCCTGGGTGAGGGGCGTAATATGAAAGTTGTTGTTGTATAAAAAAANCTCATGAACTTTACAGTGTTTCCTGTGAAGCGCTTTGTGACATCTCAAAGATGTGATAAGGCGCTATATCAAATGCAAGGATTATTATTATCATATGAAATTCGAGGGATCATTATTGTTATATGTTTTAGCTAATGACTAATGACTAGAAATGTCTGCTGAGATGAATTGTGTGCTCTGGGGATTATGCACGATATTGCGGCAGGTTCAACATCATTATTTGATGTGCGCAAGACAGGCTCTGGCACGGTTGAATTGATGATCTGAACCAGACGTGGCTGTTGAAGCCTAAACAAACAGTCACAAAGCATATCAGTCAAACAGATGCACGTACTCCTGTTGGATTATTAAGGAAAGGGCGAAATCAACCATAATAATAATCGTTACATTTGATTCAGTGCCTTTCATGTCAGGAAACACATCCCAAAGCACTTCACATGATTTTACTCTAAGGTGGTGTGACTATGTGTTTTTGTGGGTGCTCACAGCAGGTCAATTGCGTAGAGCGATGTCCCATCGACACCCTTGAGGCGAATGACGAATTTTACCTGTGGGATTGGTGGCCAGGACCTCTGGAGAAACTCCCTTCTCTTTTCGAACAGTGTCATGGGATCTTTAACGTCCACCCAAGTGACAAACCGGACCTCGGTTTATCGTCTCATCTGAAGGACGGCATCTCCGACAATGCAACACACCCCCAGCACTGCATTGGAGTGTCATCTTAGATGATATGAGTTTATGTTCCGATGTGGAGCTTGAACCCGCAACTTTCTGACTAAGAAGCGAGAGTGCTACTAACTGAACCAGGCTGACATATACACCATGGTTGGGTTGGATTGGTTTTACAAGAAGACACTGTAAGCAAAGATTAGATACAGACAACCATTTTCCAACCTTAGCTTCCCCAATCATCATGGCTAACCTGAATTAAGCTGTGATACAGCTGTAATAAT